AGATAGATAGATAGATAGATAGATAGATAGATAGATAGATAGATAGAATTCTTTATTAGCCAAGTGTGATTGGACACGCAAGGAATTTGTCTTGGTGCAAATGCTCTGAGTATACAAAAAAGAAAAGATACATTCATCAAGAGTCAAAGAATCATAATGTACAACACTTAATGATTGTCATAGGGTACAATCAACAATCAAATAATACTAGGAAACAGTCAATATAAATCATAAGGATACAAGCGACAAAGTTACAGTCATACAGTCACAAGTGGGAGGGGATGGGTGCTAAGGAGTGGTGAGAAGATTAATAGTAATAGTAGTGCAGACTTTGTAAATAGTTGAACAGTGTTGATAGAAATATTTGTTTAGCAGAGTGATGGCTTTCAGGAAAAAACTGTTCTTGTGTCTAATTGTTCAGGTGTGCAATGTATACAGGTCCTTGATTGAAAGCAGGTTGGTAGTAATTGTTTTTTCTGCAGTCCTAATTATCCTCTGAAGTCTGTGTCTGTCCTGTTGGGTTGCAGAACCAAACCAGACAGTTATAGAGGTGCAGATGATAGACTCAATAATTCCTCTGCAGAACTGTATCAGCAGCTTCTTGGGCAGTTTGAGCTTTCTGAGTTGGCACAGAAAGAACATTCTTTGTTGTGCTTTTTTGATGACGTTTTTGATGTTAGATGTCCATTTTAGGTCATGTGATATAATAGAACCTAGAAATTTGAAGGTCTCTACTGTTGATACTGTGTTGTCTAGTATTGTAAGAGTATTGATAGTATGGGAGGGTTTCTTCTAAAGTCTACCACCATTTCTACGGTTTTGAGTGTGTTCAGTTCCAGTTGTTCTGGTTACACCATGAGGCAAGTTGTACAACCTCCTGTCTGCATGTGGATTTGTCATTGTCTCGAATGAGACCAATCACTGTTGGGTCATCTGCAAACTTCAGTATTTTAACAGATACATCATTTGAGATGCAGTCATTGGTATATAGGGAGAAGAAAAGTGGAGAAAGCACACAGCCTGAGGGGGGGGGGCTGTGCTAATTGTACAGATATCAAATGTGATTCTGCCTAGCTTCACCTGCTGCTTCCTGTCCTTTAGGAAGCTTATGATCCACTCACAAGTGTGTTCAGGTACCACCAGGTAGTTTAATTTAGTTAGAAGAATGTCTGGAATGATGTTATTGAATGCTGAACTGAAGTCTACAAAGAGGACCCTTGCGTAGGTATTTGGAGATTCAAGATGTTGTAGGATATAGTGCAGAGCCATATTAACAGCATCATCTGTCGATCTATTTGCTCGGTATGCAAGCTGCATGGGATCTAACAGTGGATCCATGATGGTTTTCAGATGGGACAGCACTAGCCTTTCAAAGATTTTCATAACTATCGATGTTAGAGCAACTAGTCTGTAGTCATTCAGTTCCTGCTTCTTTGGCACTTGGATGATAGTAGAGCGCTTGAAGCAAGAAGGAACATAGCACATATCTAGTGATCTATTGAAGATTTGGGTGAAGATGGGGGCCAATTGGTCAGCACAGACTTTTAAGCAAGAAGGAGTTATCTTGTCTGGCCTTGGTGCTGTTCCTGGCTTTTGTCTGTGAAATAGATCTTCCACTTCTTTTTCTGTGATCACCAGAGGTTGTGAACCCAATGGGGCCAGTTGTAGGAGGCTTGGCTGTTGTTCAAATAGCATTCAATTAAAAACCAACCAGATGCTTTGGACAACCTAATAATCTTGAATATTCTTAACCTTGGTTAATTTCTTCGTTGTTTTGTTGTGTTTTTGGAAAATAACGGAAATTGGTTTTTTGTTTGATTTGGGTTTCATAACTTAGGTTGGATAACCTAGCCTATCTAGTTATTTACTTAACTCAATCCAGGACCAATCATAAAAGGATAGTACAACAAATATGGTAAATAAAATAAAATAAAATAAAATATTTGGTTAATTAACAGCAATCCTGGATGAACTTAGAAAACAAGTTAGTAAATAATCAGGCTGGTTAGAGACAATTTGTGAACTCAACAGTGTGAACAACTTCATAAGTACACAACTCATTATTGCCCATTATAGAGTATTAAATGCAAAGCCAATTTATCATTATGATTGGCAGTACCTTCCATCCAGGTTTGTTGCTCTCACAGCTGCAAAAACTTTTGTTTTCAAAGGTAATCCTGTATTAGGTATAATCAGCTGTTGGCTGTAGGTAGAGTCCTACAAGAACATAGTAAATGCAAATATTATAGCAATATCATAACAGAAGTCACAGTGAAATTACAGAAATGTAAAATGTAATCTTTTCTAATAGAAATAAGATAATTCATAGTTCTCTGCAAGACAAGGAACTTTTAGTGCACACCACTTTTATCAGTGGAAACCCTGGGAATTTCTCTCCTCCAAGGAAGAGGAAGTAGTGTTGAACAAAGTGTAATTTATAATTTGTTTATACAGTTTCCCTCAAAATTGCTCCCCCAATACCTTTTTATCCACTTAAAAGCAAACATAATCGCTAACCAAATGACTGTAAAGGGACTATTGAGAAAAATACTAAAAGAAGACTAGACTGATTTTCTATTTCTTTCTTTAAACAGTGGTTCTGTAGGCATTTTTGAGAGGAAAAGTTGTAGCTCAGATTGGTAGGTCCATGTTTGCAATAAAAATTTAATCTGGCCCTAATGTAAAACACAAATCCATGATGATTTTCTCATTTGTTGCAATCATTTTAAAATAAATGGAACTTCTACAAACAAATAGCTTTTAGTTTTCACTGATTATGTATTGGGCACCACATAAAACTGGAACAGTGCATTGACATAATTCAATATGACCAAATGCACTTGCATGAATGCACTTAATGTGGTACTTTATAGGGACCATATGTCAGAATTTTTAAAGATAAGATCTTCAGAAAATTTTGTGGTACGTACAAATGGTATCAGACAGTATGCAAAGGAACTAAATCAAATATTAATCAAGCTATGTGAATGGTTAAAAAGTGTCACATTGAATCTATATATCAAACTATAAAATACATTAACATACAAATAATCTGTCTCTTCAGTTTAGCAATTTTTTTTAATTATCTAGAGTTTTACTTAATATCAAAAAGATATTGAGACAGTAAGAACAGTTTTACTTTTATAATCTCTGCTTTTTTCTAACACTATAGACAAACCAATTTCTTTGAAACTATTGTACTAAAACTCATAGACATTCAAGACAAAGCAAATTTAGTTTTTTACATCTTATCAACTACATATTTAATACTTGGATTTGATAATTTGAAATGCTATACTAGAAACTAAACTGAATTCTAGATGTTTAATTGAAATTTGAAATAGATTGGGTAGTATATCATTTTTTAGAAAACAAATAAATAAGCAAATAAATTACACTTATAATGCATCTTTATACTTGACTTTATACAAAACAAAGGCATATTGAATTTAATAAGATATTTTCAGTTAAGTGTACATAAACTATAACTTGGTATATATTCCCAAATACATAGTTCTGTTATATCAATCTATGCAAATTTTGCAAAACATCTCTTTGATCTTTATTTTGATATAATAATTTATAGGAATCCTTAATTAGTAGATTTGAAGTTACCACATTCTGATTCAAATAAAAGATGGCTTAATTAGATAATCTTTCTAGAATTCCTTTGTATATATGAACATAGAACAAATACTTAAATCAATTGCTTGATTTACACTTTGAGAGGTCTTCTCATATTTATCCTATCACAGAATTTTAAACAAATGTAGAGAACTGTGAATTAATTTCTTTTGCAAGGATATCTTGCTTTAATTATAGGCATTAAAATTCTTTTGTAAAAGTTATGTTTATCCTTCTAGATACTAACTTGAGTTACTAGCTGCAATAATGGATTTTAGAATTATTTTGCCTCAATTTAACAATATCTGACCCCACTTAAACTCTGTATTAGACAGTGTTTCAGCAGGATCACTGAATATGTCGACATACTATATATGGAAAATTCTGGGACACAGATATAATTTTGACCATGAAATGCTTATATTATAGCAACATCACTGATAAAAATAACATCAAAATCTGTATTTGGGAGTAAACTGAGGTTTTCATACAGATACATTATTCAGGACAGCTCAGTTTGGAAATAATATTTTTACAATATTTGCAGAATTAAAAAAATAATTTGATATAGATATTATCTCTTAGTTGTCCATCTTTAAAAAATGTTATTCTGTATACTTGATCCAGATGCTTTTTGTTTGTTTGTTTGTTTTGGTTTTGAAGTTCCATAATAGTTAGAAATTTTGGAGTAAAAAACTGTAACTCTACATTTAGTTATATGTTCTTTACTATTTACAAAGCTCTGAAAAATTATGTCTTCATAAAAAACACTTTGGAAAATGCTAATGTGAAATTAGTTTTCTATTTTTCTTAAAATAAGGTTTGATTATGTAGTTGCTTTATATAATTTTAATGGGAATTGATTACAATTTGTTCTATTTTTACACTGTGGATAAAACCAGTAAGCTTATTAATATATCTTTGGACCAACCATTGCTTCTTACAGAGATATTTTTGACAATATTCTGAATATTAGGTACCTATCAAAATTAAAAACAGTGGATTTTTAGGATTAGGTTTTGGGTTTGCTCCTGCAATAAAGGAAGGAAAGATGTCTGCTTGGCTTGCCATAATGGATTGCTAAAAGCCAATAGTTGTTACAAAGTTTTCTCCCACCAAAGGGATAAAAGAAGGGGAATATGATAAAAAAATATGGTTATAACATAATTTACCAGAGGGTCATCAGTTTTTATTTTCTTCCTTGTTAAGTATTACTGAGATGATAAACATTATAATTTTATTATTTCATGAACTCTGTTTCATGAGGGTATATTTTAGTTGAATTCGTTAAAAAATCCTAAAAATAAAAATGCGTATAGATAATACAAGGCTAACAAAATCAGTCGATGCCAAGTTTTAATATCCAATTAAATGGTGAAAACATCTGTTAAAAATCTGGAGTTCCTGCTTTAAATGAAATCCCTTTTCGCTTAGTGGGGCATCAAAACCAGGTAACTTTTTTTATTATTTTATTTTACAACCAGAAAATTGCAAGGTTATATATGAATGCTGTGCTGATAAAAATAAATGTATCTACACAAGGAAGAGTAGCAGCCTGCAGAACACTTAAATTATCACTTGGATTGAATTGCTTATAAATTTACTAAGCCATATTTTTATGACATTGATATAAAAGATATAGATCAAATTATATTTTAAGTCATGTGCTTTCCCAAAGCAGCTTGTTCCTCTGAATTCTGACATGAATTCAAATTGCTGACTTTTTTTGTTTCTCTAGATTTTCATGACTGATGCCAGTTCTTTTTAGCCCCAGAGGCATTACTATTATCTCCTTGTAATGATGTCTCTTCCAGCTCTGTTTTATTTCCTATGTTCCCTTTTATATTGTTTGATTAAATTGTCACGACTGAAACTGTCAAAGTATGTTTACATTTATTAGTATTTGCATTTATTAAGTGATACTGTGGTCAAAAAAAAGTAGGGATAATGAAGTGAATATCAATAGCTTTATTAATCTGAGAATGCACACTTCCTTAGTAGTATTTAAGTCACTCAGAGGCAATTGTGGATAATTGTACCTTAATTCATTAAGCAATCACAGCACAGCACTAGAGTATATTACATTTTAATATATGAAAATTAGTATCCTTCATATTCATGATTAATTATGCTCCTCACAGAATAATATCTTGACCCCAACACAACCATTTCTTAAAAGCATACCTTGTTCACCAAGTAATCCTAATAAATCCAATAGTAGATTTATACATATGTATAAATTCATTAGGAACACCAACACCACAAAACGAATTAATCCAATGCTGCAACCTCTACTTAAGCAGAATGTGAATTTTGTTTTGCAAATATCATCCGCAAATTGAATGTCAAGTATCAACTTTGACAAATTTCAGATACTTTTAACATACTACCAGCATTTATTTCCTTTAGGAAAAGAAAGAGAAGCTATCTTCCCAAACCTGGATCTTCACTCCTAATCTTTCAATGTGAAACAAAGCAGATCTGCAAGAAACTGTAACTACAATTTTGCAGTGCAGTGCACTGTATAATGCAATTTAACAATCTTTACTTTCCTTACACATGTTTCATTCCAGTATGTGAAAGTTGGCAATATAATATATCAATTGTAAATCCACACCCTGGATTTACACCCAATAAAAAACGAACTTTTGAAACTAACACCTAAAGTCACATTGCCCAATCAGCTCTCGGTCCATCCGATCTGGTGCCTCCAAACTCCACCTCCAACCACCTGCAGTCACACCCTCAGTTTCCACAGCAAAGAATGTTAACTACAACATCCCCCCTTATCTCTACAACCCCACTTCCTGCTCCAGACTGTGGTGAGCCTGAAGCAGTGTTAAACCCCTAAATAGAATGCCTAGAAAAAGCAAAAAATTAAGAAATGGCTAATCTATAACATGGCTACACCTACGCCAGCTTCAGGGTCGACAAGTAGTGTGTATAGCTTAATAGTGCTATTATTGTTTTCATACATGGAAGTGAGTGGATGTGTTAATTTTTAGTTATTCAGGTAAGAAAACATGGTTCTCTAATGTTTGGAGTGTGAGTCAGCTACAAAAATAAACATACATGGCACTCACCAATTACATACTGTAAAACAATTCTGTTAAATTCCTTGTTTTTAAGGGGAAAATGATTATAGTTAGAACAATATCAAACAGACGTTACCATCTTAGAGATTAACAGTTCATCTGTTCTACAAGGAGTAGAGAAAAAATCCAAGATGAATAATTTGCACACCTCTTTGAATCAGAAAACTATTCACCAAAATGCTTTATTATAAGAAGCAAAACTTGTTACACATTATTGGGGGAGAGCAACCTGCTATGGGGAAAGGTACACTTTCTTGTCCATAGGGTTTTATTTATTTTATTTGTATATTAGATATATCTCACCTTTATTACATTTATAAATAACTCAAGGTAGTAAATATACATAATACTGTTTTCTCCTCCTGTTTTCTCCATCACAAAAGTTGAGTTGGGTTGAGAGAGAGTGACTGGTCCAAAGTCACCCAGGCTAGAACTCATAAGCTCCTGATTTCTAGAACAACTCTTAACTACTATATCAAATTGGTCTCATTTACAAGGTAAGTGTATAAAACTTACTTGCAAAAGCATTTTGAACAAACCAAAAATCAATACTATTGGAAAAATAGTACTGGCTACTATTAGTACTAAAGGCAGATTAGCATCTGTTTTAAAGAAACTTATTTCAATCCTTTCAACACAATATAATATTAATTTTCCTCAAAGTTTTAAGACATTTGCTCCTTTGTCTCTGATTATGTACATATACTATTTTAAGAATGAAAGTAATAGTTTTAATCTGTAGAACTACATATTACTAAAAAGCAAAACAAGACATTTGTTTAACTACAGTTACTATTATTCTGCTACGATATTGTAGCTCATTCATTACACTCCAAATCTAAAGCACAGACTTTTAAATCAACTGCATGAATTATACTCTAGGTCCATGATGAGATGAATAATAATCTTGGAAATGTAATTGTAATTTAGTAAAATACCAGCTGAGAGATGAAAAGATGATTTTTTAAAACTATATATTTGAATGGATAAAGAAAAATTCTAATCAACACAAAATATGATTTGGAAGATTAGCATTGGCCTTATAAATAAAAAATCAGTTAAATTCTTCACATTTCCCACTCAATGACCCTATTTATTCAATACAAAATTTTTCAATTACATATATTCAAATTTAATTATTATGCTAATAAATAGAAAGTATAATCTGCCATCAAGAATAATGTAAAATATTAGCTATCAATGCCGTCACAAAAACTACGAAGAGAATAGAATTAACATTGATTTATATTAGGGCTAAATGTTTTTTGAAAGATCTAAAGATGATGAAGTACAAGTCCCAGAATCCCTCACTACTGAGAGTTAAAGTGTGTGTGTGTGTATCAGTGGTGGGATTCAAATTTTTTTACTACCAGTTCTGTGGGCGTGGCTTGGTGGGCGTGGCTGGGGAAGGAGACTGTAAAATCTCCAGTCAGAAGTGAGATTTGCTGGTTTTCCAAACTACTCAACATTTCTGCTACCGGTTCTCCACAACTGGTCAGCATGGCTAGGATGTCAGTGAAAGTGTCTTCTTTTACAATGGAAGTATGATTAGTGAAGCAGTTTGTGGAACCCATATGGAACCTATATCCAGGCTGAATAACTGAATTAGTTGAACTACTGTTGCCCTGTGCCAATCTTAGTGCTGATTAATCAGAATGCTTCTAAACTGGAAAAAAATATCGTTATCATTATTGTTGTTGTTGTTGTTCATCATTATCACCATCATTAACCCAGATTATAATCCTTACATATGTTTTCAATATGTTTCATTCTATCCATGTCACTGTTTTTTCATCTGTTTTCAATATGTTTCATTCTATCCATGTCACTGTTTTTTCATCTTGTTTTTTTTTTTAATTAAAATTTGAACAGAACATAAGGGACACAATACAATGATTCCATATTATAATTATAATTAAAAACAATAATAATAATCATCATTTTGTTTATTCACCCACAAAATATTTGGGTCAAGAATGCATAGCCCAAAGTTTATTTCCTACACCTTTCTATCTTTTGGCAAGCATTAATAGAAAGAGGATAGGAAAATGACACAGCATACGTGATGATGTTATTATGTGTGGAAACATTGAGTCATGCCAGTTTTTTATTTTAAACATCTATCCAGAAATTGTTTTAACAATAATTAAGATTAATGAAAAAAAATACACAAATTCAAACCCTAGTACAAACTTCTCATGTCTACTTACAAGTATCTACTCCTTATAGAACAATCAATTTAAAAATGTACTTTTCCTGTTGATTTCAGTGGAATCTACTCTGGAACTGAAATTCAAAAAAGAATCCACTGAAGATGCAAAGAAAGCTAGATCACAAAAAAAAGTATAAACACAAAGCCCAGAATTGGAAAAAAAAACATGCTAAACAAGTTAGAACTTAGAATAAGCTGACAATAGCAGATGCTAAGAACTGAATAAGGGCTTCCTTATACTGTATATGTTTAGAATAAAAGGAAATAACTAGTAAATAGGGACTGAGTGAAGAATGTAAAATGCTGAGGAGCAATAAAGGATCAGGAGAGCAATCAATTTATCTCTTGTTTTTATATAATTTTCTTTGTGAAGAATGTATGTGTTAAACAGTGAACTTGTGAAGAGCAAAATGCATGCCTTTGAAAACTGAGCCAGGTAGACATGGACATAGAATGTCTTTATATCTTGAATGAATTTCATCTGAGGACACTCCAATTGCATTCCAGAGCACAGAAAAAATTAGAATTTCCAAATGTATTTTAAAGAAATTGCAGAGAATGGAGAAATAGATCATAAAGTGGTAAATCTATAAGCATTTCGAAAACAAGGTGGCAATCATCAATGTGGGTAACAATGTGCAATTGTTTAACTTTTATTTCCAGACTGACTTTCTCTCCATCTTTTCATATAACAATTTTCCTTCATAAAGTGTAGTAATAAAATATTTTCACTTTACTGAGCATTTGACAAAATGTGTCATGGCATCCTGATTAGCAAACTAATTAAATGTAGATTGGATGGCATGATTTTGGATACATACTTGGCTTGAAAATCACAATCAAAGAGTTTAATATTAAATTGGATCAAGTTCAATGCCAGAAAGTACAATCTTAGGCTCTGTACTGGTCCATAATTTTATTAATAACTGGGTTAAAATTATGGAGAAAATGTTTATCAAATTTTCAGGTCTTTCAAATTTTGATGGCATAGCTAATATACAAGATGGCAGAAATAAAACTCAAAATAATCTTGCTTGATGTATGTTTGAGATATTATTCTACACAGAATGAAATTTATTGGACAGATCCAAAGCTGATCACTTATCAGATAAATCTCAGGTATTCCAGTATAGGATAACCCCTTGGTTGGTAGCAGTTTGTGCAAAAGGCCATGGGATATTCATTGGCAACTGAGTATGAGCAGTGTGACACATAGCTATCAAAGAGACAGAAGCAATTTTATCAAGTTTCATTTTCAAATTATGTTGATGGATGAGTTTCATTTTATTCTAATTTGATCAAAGTAAAATTCTAACAACTATATTAATTTAAAGGATTAGTTTCATTTAAAAAGGTCAAAAAGGAATGATTAAACTCTAGAAACTAAATGTATGGGAGGAAAAGCTTAAAAGGCGATTCGGCCAGTTTTACTTTGGAAAAAGAAGAGACGATGAAAACCTACCCTCTAATTTTTTACTTGAAGTAATAGTGTACCAAAAATGGCTCTGCAGAATCCAGAGCCAAGAATCAAACAGAAAGATGAGTCATTGAACAGGTCAGTTCTAGGAATTCTTCTCTAGAGCTAGAAAGGAGGCAGGATTGGCCAAAAGACTTCCACATAGAGGTTTCCCATGAGGACATCATAAGACACTGGTTTTAGAGCTTGGCAAACTGAGAGAAAGTCATCTTGTCTAGGTCAAGGTTTGGCATCTTCAAATGTACACTGGGTTTTCATACTTCCTCTCTTAACTACCGTAGGAAATTGCTTGTAAATGGCTTTCGGATGTTAAGGACTTTCAGAAGGTTTCATTAAATCAGATACGTTTCCTTTTATCCCTGATGAAAGAAGTTTAATGCAAGTTTAAAGACTTTTAAAAATGAATAAATACAAAAAGATGTCTAGAACATTTGTTTAACAGAACAAAAATATTTATTTGTTTCTACTTACATTGTAAAGGAGCAAATTCAATGTGCTTATAAATGTACCATTGTTCTCTCTTACAGAAATTGCAGCTGATGACCTATGAATAGATTAGAAAGCAAAACTATTTAATATGTCATTTATTCAATGCTCTTTCTTATTAAAACAAGAGAAATAAGCTAATTTTATTTATTTATCAAAATTTGCAGCTGCTTATCTTTCTCACAGAAGGAACAATAAATTCATGAATCAAATAATTAGGAAATAAACACAAAATAGTCATTCAGTAATTTATAGGGTAGCATTTATTTCTGAGCCATATATTAAAATTTTGTTGAGTGAAAACTAATCAAATCTGAAGTAAATCAGTTCAATAACTGTTTTGTGTATTTATGTGCAGTGAACCATCTAAATATCTTCTAAATATCTGTGATTAATAAATATTTTGGAAGCAAATTTTATTGTGAAACAACAGACTAGTTCAAATCAAATGGTAAACTAAATCCTGGGAATCACATTCTTTTAATACTGTTTTTCTTCGTGTCTTCCTTCTTTTTTTGTTTCTCTAGATTTTCATGACTGATGACAATTTTATGTATAGAAAGGGAAAGGGCCAACATTCATACAACTGTCTTGTGCTGAGAATGTAATATGCTTACAGAACACAACCAATTCCACTTTTCTAAAACCTGAACAGTTTCATAATAAAAATGGAGCAATCACAGTAACTTTTGATTATAAAACAGTAGTTATTTCTTTAAAAACCAATCTAATATTCATACTTACGAAGCAAGTTGTGTATTGTTGACTAGATATTCCAAAGGATAGCTACAGCTAAATTTATACAGAAGTCCTGGTAAATAGCTGATGATTGTTGGTGGATCTGGGGTATCTATATAACCTGAAATATTACCTATTTGGACTGTGGATGCATTGCCGTATACATTGATACCTGGAACTGAGGTTACCTATTAAGGATAAAGCAAGAAAATTGAAATTACAGAGAGGTAAAGCTTATAGTAGAGAAGAATCTATCAAATTTTGTGATCTGCTGTCATTGGGGCGGGGGAGTTGGGAGGTTATTTTTTTATTTTTTCCAGATTTTGTTCTATTGTACTTTATTAATTTATTTGAATCTTTTTATTAGTTTTTTAAATATGGTTTTACATTGTGTAAGCCTCCTCGACTCGCCATGGGAAAATAGGTGGCAATATAAATTCAATAAATAAATAAATAAATCTGATGGGATTTTAGTGCTTAAAACCATCTTTATGATTTCATTTGAATCAATGACTTAATAGTACAGTACATCTTTAATAATTTTTGGGTGACTTATCCAACCCTATTGCTTTTCTTTGCAATCATGAGGGAAAGAAATTAAGCTACAGGTAACCACCTCTGACAAACAGGCAGAATGTTATGTTTTGATACAGAATCTTGGATAAATCAAAATCTATTGATCACAAACTTTTTTGTGAAATTCCCCTTTAAAACATTGGGGCATAATTGGCCTTTTGGTAGAAGGAAGCAACATCACAAATATTTGAATAAAATAGCTGGTGATTCCTTCCTTTAATCAACAGCCCAAACGAGGCAATTGTCTTTCATTTTTATTTCTTCAGAAGTGCCTGTTGGAATTGTATTACATTCTGACATTTTTACTGTGGCTTTCAAGTTCAAAACTGACAGGAGTGCTAAGTAATCAAACTTGCAATGTTTGTATTTAGAGGATGAGGAAAAAGTGAGAATAATATGGCTTTGTTGTAAGCCATATCATTTCCAAATTCATACAATTGGTCCAACTCACAACATTTAAGAATATTTCAGGTAAGCCTAGTTGAATTAAAACCCTCTCCGTTCTGTAAGAATTATTTGTGTCTACTATCCTACTCCATCCATCCCATATCAATTGAAATAGTAGAGAGAGAGACTTTACCATTGCCAGTCAATTCTATCATAGTCATTCTTTAGCACTTTGGGTGGTTAATCTATTTCTGAAAGTACAATAGATAAGCTATGTATGTTTGGATTAATACTGAGTTTGCTGGGGGAAAAGATTATCATTATGATTTATCTGTGGCTAAACCTCCTCTTAATTTTACCAGCTTCAAGAAAAAGACAGCTCAAGCAAAGTCTATGTATACTTATTTCCTAACAACAGCTGTGTTCCACTTCTTCCTGCAGCATTTTTGGGTAAAAAAAAAAACTTTACGGAAGTCATTAATTGTCCTCACAAGAATATTTTCATTTTGAAAAACAGTTTAGAGTGATGTCAAGCCTTGCCTGGGGATGTGGAGGAAGGAGATAAGGGAAAGAAATTTCTATAAGCCCTCCTATGTAAATTAGTGGCAACCAAGTAGAACATAGGATTTACCAAAAATGCATTTTAATTTTATATAAAACACTCTGGATATTACTTTTCTATTTTTTTTTTAAATTGTAACTTCCTATAGTTAGACTTGCATTTAATCTTGAATCTCTCTCTGTACTGGTCAATGGTCAACCCAAACAGTAAGTTTTTCATCTCTTTTGTTTTCCCTGATTAACATCTAACTCTTTTTTCTTGTTGGTTGTGATCAATGAAAGCTTAACTCTGAGACATTTATCATTTTAGACTCTCTTTCCTCTTCTTTCCTAAATGAACCTTAAGGGTGGCTACTATCCAATCACGTAACTCTTCTTGCTGATGCAATACTAGTCTTCTTTTTTAGTATTCACTGTTCTTTCAATGGCATCTGTCAGAATTCTCTGGGTGAATGCAGGAATCTCTTCTCCACTAACTTCTTGTATTGGTCACTTCTGTACCATACAGCCGTGTTGTAGCACTTCCATTTTGCAGTTCTAGCAAACCACCCCACTGATTTTGCATAACATGAAATTTGTTCCCCTTCCACTCCTCTTCTGGTCAGATTTAACTCCAAAGTTCTACTGCATTTCCAATTCAATTTCTCCACTCATTTCTTGTCTACATACTTATAACAATAGCAATCACTGTGAATGCCCTCTCACACTTCCAAAGGATGTTGACTAGTAGATTATTAGGCACTACTGCCACTACTAGTATATATTAGGCACAACTGATAGGACAGGGATGAATATACAGATTATTATTACATGCTGGCAAAAGCTTCACTGCAATGATCTTACACTTCATAATGAAATGGGAAGGGAGGGAGGGAGGGAGGGAGGGAGGGAGGGAGGAAGGAAGGAAGGAAGGAAGGAAGGAAGGAAGGAAGGAAGGAAGGAAGGAATAAAACTTCCAACAGACAAACCACACTTCATTAATCACCACTTATTAGTGTTTGTGTTTATAGTGTTGTATTTATAGTTTGATGGGTTGTTATGAAAGAAGTAGCAAAAGTCTAGTCCATCATAAGATGTTGGAAATATAAGAGTGGAAAGAATGCTTGCTTATCCATCATCAAAGGAAAAAAAACATGAATATCAGAGATTAAGTCAAAATAAGCAGCCAAAACTTTGCTTTCAGATCTTTCGCTATATATAAATAATTCAGAAGATGTCTGCTATCATTATTTCCTTTGTTGAACAACATAATTTAAAAGTTACAAGAAGAGTTCAGAAATATTTGGGAATCCCAAGGTACCCAGTAATAATCATTATTACCAAAAGTTATTGCCAGTGTTATACTTTTTTTTCAATCAGTAACATTTTAGAGGTATCACTAAACTTCATTTTTTGTTGTATTAAAATATCAGGAAAACTTTTGGAAGCAAGTGTTTAGTTTGTTTTTCTCACAGTCATTTCTACATTAAATCTAAAAGCCAAATAATGCTGTGGCTGGTAATTAACATATTTTTATTCATTCATTTCAAATATAGTACTGGAACAAACTATAGACTTAATTTATCAAAATATATAAGAATAAAAGGAAATGTAAAGTCATAAAAATAGCACGGAGAAACAGTTATATATTTCTAGAAACATGATGAAAATAGCTCACAGCATTGTAAATTTAAGTGAAAAATATGACATATAATATTATTGAACAATGCTTTTACAATGTTTTATATTTAATCATAGATCTAGTTGAAAGGTATATAAACTCTGTGACTCCAAAAAAAATAATCGTTATAAATCAATGCCAAAACAAACAGTACTTCTGTTAAAGAATGTACTTATAGCGTACTGAACCATGAAAACCCTTTTTTAGTATTTTTGCCATACTACCTATTCTTAAAACTGATAGGGAATCATATTTTCAGGAAAATCTTTTCATTTTTCCAATTAGTTTGGTTTTACATTTCAATAAATCATGGCCTAGGCTAATGGGGAGTTCAGATACTCAAAAAAGTTTTTCAAACTTCCACAGCAGAAAGTTCTCTAACAACAGTAATTGTTCAAATTCCTTAGACATTATACTGTCAGACTCATGTCAACTCTGAAATGGATCGTGACATTCATACGTATAGGATTTGCAACAGCTATGTCCAATTTTGGCAGATTAATCACAACTAAACTGTCCAATTGAACATCTCCCAGTGAAGCCTTATGTTAAAGCAATGGGTGATTTGGTAAAATGTGTAATAAAACGAAATGCAGATAAATTCAGACAAACCTTCAAATGTGGAGAGATGTAGAAATGATACAGTCTTAAAACACCTTTGTAAGTATCAATCAAAAGATGTACTGCATCATGATCCTGGCACAAAGAAGCAGCCCTCAAGTCAGTAGAATTATTCCACAACTCTAGTCATTCTACAATATATTTCTAAATGTGAAGATGATGATGATGATGTCCACCCTATCAGAAAAAGACTTGTGTGTCATGTTACACTCACTGGTGTCTATTACACCCTCACAAGTTAGATATTCCTATTTATGGAAAGCGTAATATTTGTATCATAACATTAGTATTGAACTATTGTTTAGTTTTTGACATAATTAGAAGGAAAAGAAGTGATGTGGCATTCTGTTTAATATGCTGCATGATCCAACGTAAGTTTCAAGGGGCACTTGTTTAAAGAAATCAACTAGTCCATATTTTAGAGCCAACCAGAGAGAAGGCTTGTAGCCAATATTAAAAAATGTGTATACTATAAATAATAATAGTTATAAATCAGTGTCAAAAGAGACAGTATTTCTATTAAAGGTCTATGTATTGGGAAGACTTATAAATTGATTTTCTAACAAGATTTGAAAAGATTGAATATATTCTGTTTCATAATTAATATACACATACTTTTTGTTACCATTTATAATTAAAAAAGCACACATGGATATAAAAGTCTACACTGGCTTTCAAATCTGTGGGTAAACTTAAATTACTGCATCAGGATGTGCTCCCCATTCAATGTGTATAATATTAATGCTATAGAAACATGGAAAGTCAGCCTTGATCTTATTCCATTGTTGCTTCTCCACAGTCAAAGACCAAGATTTGGCATAATAATATTGTGATATGCTTATTTTTATTCCAGAACCTGTTGGAACTATTAACAACAATAACAAAGATGTAACCTTAATCTCTATGATTTCTTTTCTATATTCACCTTAGCGTAGTTATTTCCTGTATTTAAATCTAGAAATGATGAGGTATTGCCGTTCTTTGTTTCAAAGAGAAGAAATGAGCAAAGATTGAGGAAGGTGCTGGAGGATATTAGCATAATACTATATATACAACTTACTCATTTTAAAAGCAAGGGGGAAGGAACTGCTTTAACTCATCGGCATAATGAAAAGAATCAACTATCTGATAAAAACTCTGTAGAAACTGACAAAATAAAATATTCTAAAAGTTTTTTAGTACTGAAAATTCTTATGCATCCTTGAAATACTGTTTTGAATCTTAAGAATGAATGCAATGGAGAATTTCAAGCAGGAGAATGTCATTGTTAGTGTAGTTACACAGCCGTACAAAGTCCTAGAAAAAGCTGCTTCACAATGGGTGGGTGCACATATAAAGAATTATTATTTCATCTTTACAAGCTTCATACAGCCGCTTTGAAAGTTGCCCAGGGCTGTCTCAGCATGAACAAAGGGATGCTTTGCACAGCCTTAGAAGTTCCAAAATAACTGTACAAGAGGGAGGTCACTTTTACAATTTGATCTTATTCCATTGTTGCTTCTCCACAGTCAAAGACCAAGATCTGGCATTTAATTTGTTTTACTTGAGCTTCTGTTAAAAAAAAAAAAAAACATCTGTTCCCCCGAATGAGAATATTCTTTTTATACATATATGTACTTTAAGATACATAAAAATGAAAGACCAAAAAGGAAAACAAAAACAAAACAAACCGTAGAAATAAAACAGAAATATAATGAAAGTCACTTGATACAAATTTTAAGCATATCATTAAACCTTGATAACGCAGCACTATATTGATCAGACTTTCCATTATACTGATGGACAGCCTGTTTATAGATGGAAAGTGAATACAGATTGTAATCACGGGGCTGTGCTGTCTTCCCAGCATTGAAGAGTAATGTTTTTATCAAATGATTATCAACCATTTATAACTGTAAGTGTGCAGGTTAGATTATCAGTGGTAACAATGTCTAATTTATGGCCTCAAATATCTATTAATATTGGGCATCAATACTGGAAAAAATGTTTTGTTGCAAAAAGCATCCTTATAGCAATAGCACTTAGACTTATATATTGCTTCATAGTGCTTTACAACACTCTCTAAGTGGTTTACAAATTTAGCATATTGCCTCCAACAATCTGGGTCCTAATTTTACCAACCTGAGAAGGATGGAAGGCAGTCAATCTTGATCCAGTCAGGATTGAACTCTTGGCAGTTAATAGAATTAGCTTGCAATACTGAATTCTAACCACTGCAGCTCTTTACAAAAGTATAATGGCACTGGAGCAAAAACATTAATGTATATTGACTATGGAGATTCTCAATCATTCAAATCATGGTTGTCTCAAAGGTGCTTTTTGAAAAGACAACTGGACTTTCTTTGTTTTTCCTTGAAGACATTTTTGCTCCTCATCCAAGAACTGAAGAAGCTTCTTAGAAATGTTTCCAAGGAAAAACAAAGAAAGTCCAGTTGCCTTTTGAAAAAGCATATTTGGGACATTAATGTATATTCTATAATGTGCATCCTATACCTTTCAAAACTAATAGCTTTTCCTGTTGTCATAGATTTAATGGTGCCATTGTTTGAAGACATAAAAGTTAATATAAAATATTATGTGATTAGTTGTAATTTTTGAAAGACAATGTTATTTAAATTTGGTCATTTATTTCTTATAAATATTCCCCCAAATAATAATAATAAGTAAAATATTTTTTAAAAAGCTTGGAAAGCTAAAAATCAACTTTCTGCTGAGATTTCCTTACAAGGCATATTGATAATGAAGTATTTGGTTTTGTCTTGTTCCACAGGCAAGGTGGACAGTTTTTCTCAAAATGTGAAACTGAAACCATAATCATCAACTATGCAGAGATGGTATTCAGTAGGTTCTGACTAGTTCTGGAGAACCAGTAGCGGAAATTTTGAATAGTTCAGAAAACCAGCAAATAACACCTCTGACTGGAGATTTTACAGTATCCTTCCCCTGCCACGCCCACCAAGCTACGCCCACAGAACCAGTAGTAAAAAAAATTGAATCCCACCACTGCAACTATGCTATCAGTATCATTGTCATCAAAGGTTGTCCTTCCTCTAATTTAGCCATCTGGTAATAAACTTATCCAAAGCATCTGGTGCAAATACTTCTTCATGCAATAATCTACCTATAAACAAAAATCTTGTAGAAAAATAATTCAGTCTTTTTTTATTACTATTAGTTATCAGATAAGTTTGCCTCAGTAACTCTAACCCTAACCCTCAGTAACTTTCATTTTGATTTCAACTGTCAGAGGTTGGAAGAAAGAAATCTGGAAAAAAAATCATTATTATGTTTGCCTTCTATTTGAAAGATCTCACTTGGCAAGAGAAATGCAGAAATTTCACAAGAGCAGCAGAGAAGGCTATATCTAAGTGGCAGTGGAAGCCAGCTTCAAAAAACTTCTCTTTCAAGTATCCACTTGGGTAGCAGTGAAAGGAAATGGCATATTTTTTTCTCTGAATGCTGCTATAAGCTTATCTTGTTCATCATTATAAGAAATGTTTAGAAATTGGAAATTATCTCAGTGATAATTGAATAAGTGGATTACTTCATTTTGAATGTTTTCTTTCAAAATGTTTTCCACATCTGTAGCCAGCATTTACCACAATATTCAAGCAAAGTATTTCTTATTTTATGTGAAATAATCTACAGAACCTTCAGCTCTGCCATTTTTTTATCTAAAGCATTACATCAAGTTCTACATTTCAGATTCAAATTGTGCACAAACGTTTATCTGCATTCATTCATTCTACAAGTTTGTAAATAATGTGAAAGAACTTTCAAGACAATCAGAAGCCCAACTGAACTTTCTTGTTTTTCTTTTTGAGGTTGGAACCAGCTCTAGCCTAGCTGGAAGTGTTGACTTATCAGAAGGGTGAGTAGAAACTTTGTTTTTTTTTTCTACCATCTCTGTTTTGGACCAAAGATATAAGGCCCATAAGCCAGCAGTTTAGATAGGAAAAACAAGTCATGATTTCTGTTCCCCATTAAAGAATAAAGCCGTCTAGAAATAAAGAGATTACCATTTAATCCAGAATTCTAACTCCTAAAGTCAGCATCCTACCATGTCAAAGAGAAATCATAAATCATTTTCAGTTATTCATTACTAACTGCTCAGATTCATCAAGTCATTAAATTAGCATTTAATAAATTTTAAATTTCTTTCAAAGCTCAATTATTGTACTATTTTATTTTGTAATTATTATTTTTTTCTGAGATTAAGTATAGACAATCAATTATTTTTAATATGCTATGCTGTTATGTACGGTATGTTTAATGTATAAAGATAGGATTAATCAAACTATCCTGGAGGAGTATTTTAGTAGATCAGTTCTGTGGCTTTTAGAATTGGTTGAGTTAACTTGGAAACAGAAAGAACTCAACTAACCATTTATTGAACATGCCTCCCTTTGATTTAGCCATCTCAAGATGGCAAAATAATACAAATTTATGTCATGTAATTTTCTGCTTCTAATTATTATGTACATAAGGCTGAAATAATCTATTCATACTCTTGACTTGGAACTTTGTAAGGTTTATTGGGAAGGTCAGTAAGATACTTTAATTGAGAATTACTGGCAGTTTTTAACTTTTCATGATCAAAAACTTTAGGATAATATTCTTAAATAATGGTAATCACAGAACTAGCAACTGTATCTGTGTTTTGAATTCAGTCTTAAGAACAAAAATCATGAATTCTCTCATTTTACATCTAAAATCTTCCAGTATTGTTGGAAAAAATGTGTTGATGTATTAAACTCACTGTTTTAATGACAACATGAAACTCTTATTTTTATTTTTATTACTAGGGACCATACCTGAATGAAGCAGAGCTGATATTTCAATGGAATTCAGTCACTAATAAATACTCTCCATATGCTTCTTTGACTAAAAAGGTTGGCATTTATTGCAAGTAAGTACCCTTTCAAAGCAGGGGAATAAAAATTTTACATTTAAAATATAATATTAAATACTTACCAGGAAACCTGCTATGTAAGTTAGCATCACAGTTATATCCATTGAATTGTGCAGTCACTGACACCAATTTTACAAACAGCAAAAGCAGGGGGCATATTCGTTCCATTGCAAACCTAGGAAAATATTAGGCAGATCATATTTGAAATAGAAGGCTTCAGAATAGGATGCTATACTTGGTCTGATTTTAGAATAGAAGTCTGCAGTATAGGTAAAGTAGTTCGTACAGAATATGAATTTCTGCTTGTAATTAACTAAGAAAAATCTATTTTCATTCTTCTTGCATATTATTCAAAATATTTTATTTTATAATATCTTTTGTTTCAAAATAAAACAAAAATTCTTTTAGATTCCTTTCTCTCTTACTGTGTACTTACTTCTATGTTGGGTTGTGGACAAAATGTTTGGACTATTCTTTTTTCTTCAGGTTTATAACAAAGGATGAATGGATTGTTGTCAGCAGTGACACTTGATTTAATTGTTATCTGTTATTTATAAATATCACTGTTCAGATCAGTTAGAACAAATTAATAGTAACAGGAAAGGCTACCAATAAAAAGCTAGAACTGTTTAATGTTTTGTTTAATAATGATAACTAGCAATATGTTTGTTAGGAAAATGCCTAAGCAAAATAAAGTAGACTATAGGTATAGGTATAGGATTAGGTAGGCTTTCTGTTTTATCAAATAACCTGATTCAAATAAAAAATGTAGAACATATGAAAACACCCTATATTTTTATGTCTTCTGGATCAAATGATAAACTTCTACGTTCATTTTTACCTGTTTTTATCTTCACCTATCAAATAATGAGAATCTAGTTAGTGTCATGGTTAAGGCACCAAGCTAGAAGCCAGGAAACTGTAGATATAGTCCCTCTTAAGTCAGGAAGGCACCTGGATGACTATGGGCCAGCCACTTTCACTTAGTCCTAGAAAAAGGCAATGGCAAACCACTTCTGAAAATCTTGTCAAGAAAACTGCAGGGACTTGTCCAGGCAATCAACAAGAATAAATACTGATTCAGGGACACAATAATAAAAATCAAATAATAGTAGATCAGAACTATAATGATATACTGTTCATATAGATTTTACTTTTTAATGAGACAGTCCAAACAATTCATTAAATGAAAATCTTACATTTAGTATGAGTACATTCCTCCTAATATCTGTTAGTTTTCATTTCACTGAAAAGAAATATCCAATATAATCTATTGTATCAATGGATAGTTAGAAAATATACCAGAACAATAACATTATGTAATTTGATATTTATCCAAACTCTTAAAGTGTATTGTATTCAAACATCCCCCCAAAAAACAAAATTACTGTTTATGTTTACTCTAAAATATACCTCAATCACCCTGAGTGTTTCTACTATAAGAAATGGGAAATTCGTTCGTTCATTTTTTCCCAGAAATTCTCATGAGTCTTCTCTAAGCACATCTAAGTCTCAACCCAAAATTGAAACATTATTCATATGATGAAAATAAAAATCTGTAAATAATATGTATATTTTATATTCAAATTAGTATTTACATTTATTAACTTTATAATATATAGCATTTCAACATTACATTTACATTTATTCAGTCTGAATGCTACAGCCATAGATAATCATTCCCAGTTGCAATTTTGAAATTAATAATATTACCATTTCCATAATACTGAAAAAAAATGCCTTAAATTTTTAATATTTTTAAATTTGTCAAACTGGGTTAAGACATATTTTATGAGACATGTTTTCTTGCCGATCCTTTCTATGATCTGTTTGCTTGTTTATTTATGTGTAACTAGTCCCATTTGGTAGGAAACATTTTGGTCAGTGTAAATAAAAAACATAGATTGAAAAGTTAGTCGTTAGTAGAAATAAGATATTTAACTCTTTAATATATATCATATTGTCAGTATTTAAAGTAGTATAAAGTAAAGAATTTATTATATAAGATATTATTTCTATTTATTAAAAAATCCATAAGTTTTATCATAGTACTACCAAAACCTTATAAGTGTCTTTCAAGTATTAACATCACCAATAACACAAAACAGCCACAAATATTTTGTTCGGACCATTAAAATCATTTCATTGTTCTATTCAGACAGAATTTTTAAAATACTATTTGTGTATTATTTACATATATTTATTAAAATCACATCAGTATTAGAGCAATAGAAACTAATAACACTATACTGAATACTCATAATAAATACAAGTATATTTAGTTGGTGCTACTCCCACTCAGGTGTGTTTAGGATTTCTATTCTCATTTCTTCATGGTTTTGCTTTGACCTTTTCCAAAGGTGTATATTTTGGGAATATTTCTGCAATTACTAATAAGCACATATACTGGTTCAGCTGTGTGGACTCTGACAAGGAGCAAATGTCATTGTATTCACAGCTGCCATAATTAATTAACATTTTTAAATGCTGTGCATATTTCATACTAATCAAACCACTTTGCTAAATTGGAAGCAGCCTGAAGACTTTGTATAGTTTCCTTTGGGGATAACCCATAGATCAACATCAAATGCATTCAGATGGCTTTTTGTATGACTGATACAATTTTCGGGATTAGAGTATTGTGGAAGAAAAGCTGTTGCTGTTGTCTATCTGTCAAATAGTAAATACCAGACTAGAAAAATAAATACTATTCAGAGAACATACAAAGATTCATAGGATCAACATTCACTAATTGTAAATGTTTCTATAGATCAAAGTAATTGTCATAGTGCCTTTAATATTCTGTATATGTTTGAGGAAGTAAACAAGAATATGAATATCTGCCTTTTATTAGCAGCTAAAAGTTTAGCAACAATATCAATTATAATTCATTTTATTATTAAATTATGGATATTGTTTTATTGATATTGTATTGCCTTTCTTCTCTGAGTTATAACAACTGAAATACCAAAAATAGGTGGAATAAATAATATAAATAGTGAAGTTATTCTGTCTGGATTCGAATGTAAAGGCTTTATCCCATTATTGCTTTAAAAACAATCATGATGTCAGGATTGGGAATATAAAAACTTAACTTCATTCATTTAAAATCTAGCTGTAGCATTTCATAGCCAAATTTAATCCCCAAAAGGTATGTGTACCTTTGACATGACATCTGATATTTCATTAATTGTACAAAAACATTTTTTAGTTTTCATTACTAAAAAGCCAAATTTTATGGTTATACTTTTTTTAAAAGTCTATTTTTATAGAATTTATTTATTTCAAATCTTGATCAGTATTTATTTTGGATTTAAAAGATACTTTGATCCTGGAAGCAGTTGTTGAAACATGCTTTACCCACTTCAAAAGAAGTGCTTAATTTAGTATCATCATTCTATATAAATAATATGAATATGGCAAAATCTGTATGTACACTTTATTTATTGAGAAAAATGAAAATCTTTCTAGAATACAGTGAGGTTTATTTCAAATTTATCTTTTCTGTCACTTAAAATGTCCTTTAAAAATATCAGAAACACAATGATAATTAGTTTATTATTCTTCCAATTTCTGTATTAATATCCATCAGTGAAAGTAGAATCTTGATTTAAAATCTCACATTATAAGGTTCCTTCTTCACACTTCTAATTTGGGTACGTGTTAGACTGATAGCATAGCATATACAGACATCTGTTCTCCCTGATTCACAGAGTTTTGTTTAGCTATTCATCATCATCTCAAAATGACTTCCACAATAACACCCTTCTCTGAACAAAAAAGATCTGCTACCCAACTAGATTTCAGAAGCAACAACTGAAAAGAAAAACAAAAATTTCAGTCCATTGGAACTTTGACAGAAATGTATTTCACAATGTCCATTATAATTTCCAACATTGGGGGAAAATGTTCAGAAACAATCTTTGATGTTTGTTTTTAAAAATGAGGTAATATTTTAAGTGGCTTCTATAAAAAGTCACTTACCCAAATCCTGTGTACCTGCTGAGTTAGCAATACTCCATGTATCCTGTTCTGCTACATGTAATCAAGTGTTAAACATCACAGCTTGACAGAACCTTTGCAGAAAAATTCACCAGTTCCTCAGAAAAGAAAAGAGGTACCCATTATGATTTTTATTATTATTAACTATTTATTTATTATTTAGGTAAATCTGGATTTTAGATTGAAAGCTCTGTCAAGTCTGAAAAAAAATAAGTATCTTCATGCTCTGATTGAAAGTTGAGTAGGTTCTTTATGATAGCTTTTTTCTGCTTTGTATCCCACCCATCCTCCCTTCTTTTTTCTGATGCTTTTGATCTCCAGTTTTCCAAGGTAGAAATATTTCAACAGGTCCGTGTGGGGTAAGCAATCAATCTGGAGATATTTTTCTGTCATTGGCACATTGAAAGAAAGTCTTATCTGTAGGGAAAAAAAGATAAAAAGAGGAAAGAAATGAGCACAGAGATAATATCGGTCACTAGCTCGCAAGGTTATCACTATACTGTTGTGCTTTGTGGGAAATTTCTAACTTCTTTTCAATGGTGTTCATGGTCTACAACAGAGTGGGAAGGAATGAAAATCCATTCTGTACTGAGATACAGGGCAAAATTTTTACTGTAAATGTCATTGAAGTAATATTTACTATTTATTATAAACCAGGACAGACTTAATATGATTTGTTCTTGTAGATAATTTATATTTCCAAAATAAACCAACTTTAAGACATTGTCTTTTTACATGTTTCCAAATTTTTATTGTTATAAATTTAGCAATGTATTGCTAAGATTTGTTTTACAAAAATGGCTTATTTTATTTGTACACAATTTTATGCAGATTTTTAATTCACTTTTGTAGA